ATACCAATACACGTGTAACACCGAATGACCATACCAATACACGTGTAACACCTCCTTACCATACCAATACACGTGTAACACTGACTAACTATACCAATACACGTGTAACACCGAATGACCATACCAATACACGTGTAACGCTAACTAACTATAACAATACACGTGTAACACCGAATGACAATACTAATACACGTGTAACACTAACTAACCATACCAATACACGTGTAGCACTGACTGGCCATACCAATACACGTGTAACACTGACTCACCATACCAATACACGTGTAACACTGACTCACCATACCAATACACGTGTAACACTGACTGACCATACCAATACACGTGTAGCACTGACTTACCATACCAATACACGTGTAACACCGAATGACCATACCAATACACGTGTAGCACTGACTTACCATACCAATACACGTGTAGCACTGACTAACTATACCAATACACGTGTAACACTGACTTACCATACCAATACACGTGAAACACTAACTAACCATACCAATACACGTGTAGCACTGACTTACCATACCAATACACGTGTAACACTAACTAACCATACCAATACACGTGTAACACTGACTAACCATACCAATACACGTGTAGCACTGACTTACCATACCAATACACGTGTAACACCGAATGACCATACCAATACACGTGTAGCACTGACTTACCATACCAATACACGTGTAGCACTGACTAACTATACCAATACACGTGTAACACTGACTTACCATACCAATACACGTGAAACACTAACTAACCATACCAATACACGTGTAGCACTGACTTACCATACCAATACACGTGTAACACTAACTAACCATACCAATACACGTGTAACACTAACTAACCATACCAATACACGTGTAGCACTGACTTACCATACCAATACACGTGTAACACTGACTGGCCATATCAATACACGTGTAACACTAACTAACCATACCAATACACGTGTAACACTAGCTAACCATACCAATACACGTGTTACACTGACTGACCATACCAATACACGTGTAACACTGACTAACCATACCAATACACGTGTAGCACTGACTTACCATACCAATACACGTGTAACACCGAATGACCATACCAATACACGTGTAGCACTGACTTACCATACCAATACACGTGTAGCACTGACTAACTATACCAATACACGTGTAACACTGACTTACCATACCAATACACGTGAAACACTAACTAACCATACCAATACACGTGTAGCACTGACTTACCATACCAATACACGTGTAACACCGAATGACCATACCAATACACGTGTAGCACTGACTTACCATACCAATACACGTGTAGCACTGACTAACTATACCAATACACGTGTAACACTGACTTACCATACCAATACACGTGAAACACTAACTAACCATACCAATACACGTGTAGCACTGACTTACCATACCAATACACGTGTAACACTAACTAACCATACCAATACACGTGTAACACTAACTAACCATACCAATACACGTGTAGCACTGACTTACCATACCAATACACGTGTAACACTGACTGGCCATATCAATACACGTGTAACACTAACTAACCATACCAATACACGTGTAACACTAGCTAACCATACCAATACACGTGTTACACTGAATGGCCATACCAATACACGTGTAACACTGACTAACCATACCAATACACGTGTTACACTGACTGGCCATACCAAAACATGTGTAACACTAACTAACCATACCAATACACGTGTAACACTAACTGACCATGCCAATACACGTGTAACACTAACTAACCATACCAATACACGTGTAACACTGACCAACCATACCAATACACGTGTAACACTAACTAACCATGCCAATACACGTGTAACACTAACTAACCATACCAATACACGTGTAACACTGACCAACCATACCAATACACGTGTAACACTAACTGACCATGCCAATACACGTGTAACACTAACTAACCATACCAATACACGTGTAACACTGACCAACCATACCAATACACGTGTAACACTAACTAACCATACCAATACACGTGTAACACTAACTAACCATACCAATACACGTGTAACACTGATTAACCATACCAATACACGTGTAACACTGACTCACCATACCAATACACTTGTTACACTAACTGACCATGCCAATACACGTGTAACACTAACTAACCATACCAATACACGTGTAACACGTTCTTACCATACCAATACACGTGTAGCTAGGATTAACCATACCAACACACGTGTAGCACCTTCTTACTATACCAATACACGTGTAACACTAACTAACCATTCCAATACACGTGTAAAACCTTCCTACCACACCAATACACGTGTAACACCTTCTTACCATACCAATACACGTGTAACACTAACTAACCATACCAACACACGTGTAGCACCTTCTTACCATACCAATACACGTGTAAAACCTTCTTACCATACCAATACACGTGTAACACTGACTTACTATACCAATACACGTGTAACACTGACTCACCATACCAATACACATGTAACACTTACTGGCCATACCAATACACGTGTAACACTGACTTACCATACCAATACACGTGTAACACTGACTCACCGTAAAAATACACGTGTAACACTGACTCACCATACAAAAACACGTGTAACACTGACTGGCCATACCAATACACGTGTAACATTGACTGGCCATACCAAGACACGTGTAACATTGACTGGCCATACCAATACACGTGTAACACTGACTCACCATACCAATACGCGTGTAACACTGACTCGCCATACCAATACACGTGTAACACTGACTCCCCATACCAATACACGTGTAACACTGACTGACCATACTAAGACACGTGTTACACTGACTGGCCATACCAATACACGTGTAGCATTGACTGGCCATACCAAGACACGTGTAACACTGAGTGGCCATACCAATACACGTGTAACATTGACTGGCCATACCAAGTCACGTGTAACATTGACTGGCCATACCAATACCCGTGTAACACTGACTCACCATACCAATACTCGTGTAACACTGAATTACCATACCAATACACGTGTAACACTGATTAACAATAACAATACCCGTGTAACACTGATTAACAATAACAATACATGTGTAACACTGACTGACCATACCAATACACGTGTAACACTGATTAACAATAGCAATACACGTGTAACACTGACTCACCATACCAATCCACGTGTAACACTGACTAACCATACCAAGACACGTGTAACACTGACTGACCATACTAAGACACGTGTTACACTGACTGGCCATACCAATACACGTGTAACATTGACTGGCCATACCAAGACGCGTGTAACATTGACTGGCCATACCAATACACGTGCAACACTGATTAACAATAACAATACACGTGAAACACTGACTGACCATACCAATACACGTGTAACACTGACTAACCATACCAATACACGTTTAACACTGACTGGCCATACCAATACACGTATAACACTGACTCACCATACCAATACACGTGTAGCACTGACTCACCATACCAATACACGTGTAACCCTGACTCACCATACCAATACACGTGTAACACTAACTAACCATACCAATACACGTGTAGCACTGACTAACTATACCAATACACGGGAAACACTGACTTACCATACCAATACACGTGAAACACTAACTAACCATACCAATACACGTGTAGCACTGACTCACCATACCAATACACGTGTAACACTGACTCCCCATACCAATACGCGTGTAACACTGACTCACCATACCAATACGCGTGTAACACTGACTGGCCATACCAATACACGTGTAGCATTGACTGGCCATACCAAGACACGTGTAACATTGGCTGGCCATACCAATACACGTGTAACACTGATTAACAATACCAATACACGTGTAACACTGACTCACCGTAAAAATACACGTGTAACACTCCCTCACCATACAAAAACCCGTGTAACACTGACTGGCCATACCAATACACGTGTAACATTGACTGGCCATCCCAAGACACGTGTAACATTGACTGGCCATACCAATACACGAGTAACACTGACTGGCCATACCAATACACGTGTAACATTTACTGGCCATACCAAGACACGTGTAACATTGATTGGCCATACCAATACACGTGTAACACTGACTGACCATACTAAGACACGTGTTACACTGACTGGCCATACCAATACACGTGTAACACTGTCTCACCATACCAATACACGTGTAACACTGACTCCCCATACCAATACGCGTGTAACACTGACTCACCATACCAATACGCGTGTAACACTGACTGGCCATACCAATACACGTGTAACACTGATTAACAATAGCAATACACGTGTAACACTGACTCACCATACCAATACACGTGTAACACTGACTTACCATATCAATACACGTGTAACACCTTCTTACCATACCAATACCGTGTAACACTGACTGACCATACAAATAAAAATAATAATAATAATTCGAGGTTCTTGTATACCGCTTTAGCACAACCTTGTTCGTAGGTCATCTCAAAGCGGTTCACAAATTATTATCCGTGGTTAAAGGGCCTTTGCAACCAGCCAATAGTTAACTCCCTTGTGAGCATACAGCCGGTGCTGCCTTTTTGGCGCTCACAGCTAACATTCTACAATTCTAGCACTGCCAAACCACGTACTCATTTACAGCCGAGTAGACTGGAACAAGTGGAGTAAAGTAACCATACCAATACACGTGTAGCACTGACTAACCATACCAAAACACGTGTAACACTGACTAACTTTGTCATTTTAGCCCAATGCTGACGATCTCCATATTTTCCTGATGCAAACCTGAAGAACCTCACCTTGAACAATATACAATTCACAATAAAGGATTCTTGCTATGTGTACATGTATATAATCATCAATAATTCACGGCCTTTAATAATCAGGCAAATGTAGTAAATCAAACATAAAACACTTCACAACAACTTACATGCTAACTTACCTCGAGATGTTCATTTTTGACCGCCAGTCGTAGAGCCGTCCTGCCGAGGGCATCAATGCAGTCCACGTTGAGATCGGCGTTTCGGTCAACAAGTTGCTTGACCGTCGGTACGTCACCAAACTCGGCCGCGTGCAGGAACTCATCTTCAATGTCCACCAGCTGTCGTTTTTGAACAGATTTATAACGACACAGAAAGTCAGCCACTGAATTAAACTGCTGCTTTCTACTTCTCTTATTACTGTTAGTTTTCTTATTCATTATCATAGTCTTAACTCATCATTTACAGTAACATTTAAAAATCTAACAGAATGAAGGCGTTATATGTACATATTGTGCTTCCGGGTTTAAACATGTTCTTCAAAACTTTCTAATCCGGGATTTTGTAAACATCAACAACAAACGAACATCATTATCACTTTCCCGTCATGAAATGATATCCTGAAGAATTCTCACATAAGTATTACATGTACTAGCAACAGACTTCCGCTTTAACAAAACCAGCAGAAATATTTTTCTCTGTTAACGGAGAACAGGCAGTGTTGTGTGTCCCACCACCAATTGCTTATGATAGACGTAATACAACGTGATCCTGTATCTGGCACGTTTGCGCATGCACTCCGTAACACAGTGCCTCGTTAGTGCTATTCAGAGGGGACCCACTTCCCCTGTAACTCTCCTATGTCAATTATGAATGTACAGTGAAATTGAGGACTAGGCAATGCATCGTAGTCTAATCATTTCAACAACAACAACACACACACAGAGATTCTGTATCAACATCGTATACAAACGTACATATAGTGTTTACACGTTACACTGAGTGTCCATATAAATCATATTGCACACTGTGTCAGCGCATCGTGCACGTGTGACATCCTGATATAGCACACTATGGCAATCGTTCTTTGCACTTGTATACTGTATGTAACATTGTACAAATAAAGCACACATCGTCAACACTTCGTAAGCGTGCTATATCCAAATTAAGCACGGTGTTCAAAATATCACAAAACATATAGCACACTTTCAACCCATATCGTTCAAGGTGTAATATACAAATATATAGAATACTATAGGAACCGTTCTTGCACGTGAAATATATAAATACGGCACACTGTATGAACCATTCGTGCACGTGTAATAATGTTTAAATAAAACACACAATATCATTTATTTATGCACGTGTGATATACAAACACAGCACCATCTATTAATAATTTGTGGCACGTGTAAAATACTTATATAACACGTTATGTCTATTGTTCGGGAACGTGTGTCAATCAGTCATTTCTGCTCGTGTAATAATATACAAATATTGCACACTGTGTCAACTCATCATGCGCGTGTAATGTGCAAACATAGCACAATATGTCCGTCATCTTTGCACGTGAACATGAAACATTATACAAATAAAGCACAAACTGTCAAAACTTCGTAAACGTGCTATATCATGATAAAGGAAACTATCAATATCACAAAAAATGTAGCACCCTTTGAAACAAGCTTTCAATGTGTAAAAGACAAAAATAGCACACTATGTCACACCTTCTTGCATTTGTAATTCCGATTCAAAGTTAGCACACTATACCAACCCTTCGTGCACGTGTGTTTGTATGTGTGTAAATTCACTATTTATTTAAACGTCCTATCATCATAGTACGTGACTTGCTAGTCCCATCTGTACCCGATATCACAAGTAGTCACGTACGTGCACCAAAGATGAGAAGTACGCTCTCCGCCGTTATCTTATAACAACAGGGAAATACACACTTGCACTTTATGTTAATCATATTATTATTATATTTTAACGTCGATGAAGCTTGAATCCGGAGGTACGTATGTTTGTGTAAAATATAAATCACGCGTCATGTCATGTGACGTACGTGACTCGCTACTGCCATCTGTACCCGATATCACAGGTATCGATTGGTGTACTAACTACACAATCGCGGAGTTCACTGTCGAGCTTACATATCCAATAAACGAGGCAATATTTCTAATAATATTCACAAATTATTCATTGATTTTCAACCGATAACTATCTGCTTAAGCTTGTTCATACCTAAGTTATTTACCGTTAATATCGGAAAACGTTATCTGCGTAACAAGCTGATCAAAAAAGGGAATATAATATTCATATTTTGCCCCAATGCATGGGTTTCAGCTTTACGTACTTTGGTGGATGTTGGTTAGAATGGCAGCCTCGTATATCTGAGGTTTATATATGTTGTGAACAAATCATGCTCCGCGTACAGGGCCGTTTTCGTTTAAACGGTCAAACCGGTCGGACCACTGTTGTCCGTTTACTAAATAAGGTCGGACCTAGTAATCTGTTGCTGCTTTCAGGCGAGCCTTGACAAAGCATTGCAAGGCCTGCATACACATTTGCAGGTCCGCCAGGGTTTATACCCGAAATTGTTACATTTATAAACGGTCAAACCGGTTGTTCCGCATAAACGAACAAGCCCCTGTGGTTTCTGACAACGACCACAGTACTTGAGTCGGTTAGCAAGTAATATAATGAACTGTGTTGGTACTTAGCGTATACAAAGATTTAACTTGCCAACATTGAAGCACCGTATATAGAATGAGAGGGGACAAGATTAATGTATATAAAATTATGAACAATATGTATGATTAAATAGTCACTTCAAACATGTTTGAAATTGATAAAAACAGAAAACAAAAGGACACTCCCAGAAAATACTCAAACGACGTAGCCGTCTAGATATAAGAAAACATTTTTTTCAGTTTCCGAATTGTAGATATATGGAACAATTTGTCTCAACATGTCATTGACGCACCCACAGTGATAAAATTTGAAATTCTAATAGAGGGACACTGGAAGAATAATTGTTTTTATAATATTTATGAATCCAGATAAAAAAGATACATGTCTGTGATTCGTTAGTCTATAAACTTTTCATCCCTACGTAACTCCAGTAGACTCTTCCATACATTTATCTGGATGAGTCCATTATAGTCAACAGTGTTGAAAGGGTTTAAGAAAACTCCACCCTTTTACAATTAACCTGCAAATTTCGTAAAAACTTTCACAAGATGATCATGCCAAAAAAAAACAATGTGGAAAAGATTTTATAAAAATCTACGCATTCTGATAATTTTGAGGATTTTTTGAGAAAGAAATCCAAGCAAAATAATTTCAGAATTTTTTTTTTTCATTTTTTTGGGTGTACTAATTTTTACAAGGTATTTTCTATAATTTCCACTACGGCTTTGAAATGCTAGATACACAATACGGAAATGACACCATGAAAAATATGACAGCAAAAAAAAAGTATTGCGTAGCGTATGGTTGAGTCACGTACCATAATGTAATTCATGAGGGATTTCAAACAATTTTTTAATCAGTACTAAGTATGTTTGTCAGTTCTCTACGGTTGGGTAACTTGTTTAAGATTAATTGTGTTTTCATCTGTCAGAGATTGCCGGTGTAACATGAAACAGTGACCCGCATAGAAAACCTACCTGTGTCACTTTTTCATGTTACACCGGCGTCACTTTGACTAGATAGTGCGGTATTATATATACGTTTCATTTATGTTTACCTGATCTCTGAGAATTCAATTTAAACACCTGAAAAACACTCTCTATTGAGAAATAACCAATAATAGATTGAACGTTTGAGTAAACAAGCTAGTCTCCTTTCTGGACTTGCCGGCCTCTGTAGTCACCCACATTGCCATTTGACAGTGCAATGAATGGTCTCCGATTACCTATTTGTTTGTGTAATAATCTTACTTATGACATTTTGACGTCAAAATGAAGGAAGTAGACATATGCCAAGGCCCGTGTTGTTCAAATGTTGGTTTATGTGAACCAGTGGTTGGTGGAATTTTAATTTGTTGTGAAGAAAAAACAAGTTTTTTTTTAAAGCGAAATATGTCCTTAAAAAACACATCAATCTTATTTGTCTCAAAAACCCATATCAGTGAAATGATATTGGATGTTTTCGATTTTGTTCATTGTTCATTCATATTTAAAATCTTTCACTAACCACTGGTAATATCTAACCATTATTTGAGCAACAAGGTGACGTTGATGACTTGACAATGTTTTCTTTTTGCGTTGCGAAAATTATTGTGGAAAAAAATCTTGTTTTAACATTTATGAATGCATCTTGAATATTTTTCATTGAGCCCGGCCGAAGCTCGATAAACTGTTAGCTTATTTACTCGTTACATCAATGCCATTACATAGTAGTGACTCGACAGAGACGTGTGTCCGTAATTTAGAGAGACCTGTCTCACTGCACTGTGCTTTTTCCTAAATACAGTAATCTTCCTTTAACTTCCGTTTGGATGTTTTAACTGTAGCCACAGGCAAATGCGTCAGGTCAGTAATCAGGCGATTCTCCCTTCCCTCTAGTCTTATTAACTAGAGGGAAGGGAGAATCGCCTGATTATTGACCTGACGCATTTGCCTGTGCTGTAGCACAGTTGGACGATGGCGTTTCTGTAGACTAGGTAGCTCAATCGGTAAGAGGCTGAGCGATAGTACATCAATCTGAGGTCAAGGGTTCGAATCTCGGTCTAGCCCCCCTGAAATTTTACACTCAGAACACTGTTATTGATTATATTTTTGTTTATTTCATCTTTATTATTTCTCATAAAATGCGCGTAAGATATACTTATCTTATCAAAAATGATGTATCAAAGCTACAGTTATGCATGAAAAGGCATTGGTACGGGGAGCCTTAAATAAGAAATGTGTTAAATGTTCGCCGACATTTTTGAAAAGTTAAAAAAAATATATAGAGATATATCACATGGGTTTCATGCAATATGGATGTAACGTGCGTTCACAAAACAACCTTCGTTCTATCCCTATCATCAGCGATACTCCATAGGTTTCGCTCACTTTCGCGCTCTGCAGAGAACGTAAATTAGCGTTACCCCAGGGCCCGCAAGCATAGATTCTGTGCTCAACCCGATTTTCTTGTAACTCGCATAAGTCATGAGAAACCTTAACATTGCTATTTGTAACATTTGAAACGGTATTCAGCTTCAAGTCTCTCCAAAATTCGTCCAAATCATTATAGACCAAATATTAAGTTTAAATTTATTTATCACCGGAACAAGAAATTGGGCTTGAGCACAGAATCGGAGTTTGAGTATGAGAATTGTTTCATGAATTCG